CAAAAAAAAACAGTTTCACAGGATGGGTGCAGAGAATGAATCCAGATGCAAAAACAAATAACAGCAGTGCATCACAAAGATAGTACCATGGCTCCGAGGCTCATTTCAAACCAACAAGATGATCATGATAATGATATCCAGTACTATGCTCCCAACGAATCAACGGTCGACATCAACTGCTGCTGTTGCCACAGTGATACTAACCACTTCATTACTGACAAACATCCACACAAAACCTCTCTCCTGTTTTGATCTCAAACACCGCTTTTCCTCGCTTCACAAGATAATGATATCCTTGTTGCCACACCTCTGCATTTTGCCACGACAACAGATAACAGCAGGGCATCACAGAGATAATAGTCCCATGGCCTGAAGCTCGGATACGACCAAACAAGATAATGATGATCATCACCATGATATCCAATAACACTCCGCTGATTAGCGATTAATCAACAAAGGTCAACATCAACTGCTTCAGTTGCAGTCATGTCAACCATTTCATCACTCTCACACCCACAGAAAAGCTCTCTGTAATTGTAATCAGAAAAGAAGGCCTTGGAAAAAAAAAAAAAAAAAAGCCTTGGCTAACTTGATGACTACGCCTCCTCTGCACCCCCATAAATAACTTACACCAAAGGTTAACAAGTTTATGGCACTCTGATTTGCTTGTTCGGCCGCCTTTTGTTACAAAAGTTTTCTACGATAAGTTGATAACCTCATTTGCTCCTGTAGTCACACCTTCTCCTTTCCGTCTAGCATGAACCCCGGCCCTTGCAGTGCTGCACTCCGTTATTCAATTCAACAACAGTCTCAATTGCAGTGCTGCCATTTTGATGGGGCCTTCACTGCCTTTTACCCCACTAGAACCCTGCAGGGCTTATCTCCATTATGCACTGGCACCCTTTTACACCACGTTTTGCCATCAACCTCAGCGCGGAGATTCAATTGCAGTGCTGTCCTCCATTATTCAATTCAAGAACAGTCTCAATCTCAACCATTCACCACTTCCTGAGCAATTGTAAAGTTCACACTGCACTTTGCGCTACCCGCTAGTTCTGGTCCTACCGCCGCCATTTTGATGGGGCCTTCACTGCCTTCTACCCCACTAGAACCCTGCAGGGCTTATCTACATTATATGCACTGGCACCCTTTTACCCCACTAGAACCCTGCAGGGCTTATCTCCAGTATGCACTGGCACCCTTGTACCCCACTAGAACCCTGCAGGGCTTATCTCCAGTATGCACTGGCACCCTTGTACCCCACGTTTTGCCATCAACCTCAGCGCGGAAGTGAATCGATTTGACAGCCCTGCCTTTCTGCCAGCTATCGTCTTCCCCGGAACATAACGCACCCTGAAAATGAACGTATACAAGGTATGTTTCCAGCCCAATAGGGTCAAAATGAGGGTGAATTGTGTTGGGGGAATTGTGACGGGAGCCTCACATGTCTCTGTGCTACCATGTGTTGCCTTGGCAGCTTCTCACTGCAAGCACAGGCCTTCGCTGCCGTCAATCTGCTCTACCCCACGCCCGAAGCATCTGCCCTGCCTCCAGCACCCTTGAGGCATTTGCTGACTCTATTGGGCTGACTCACAGCGCTCAAGGTTGGTGGCGTCTGGAATCTGGATTCATACTCCGGTCTGCGTTTTAACCAAAGTTCGAATCCAGTCTCTCAAGCCTACTGCACAGGGTTTTGCCTCAATCTGCTCTACCCCATGCCCAAAACACCTGCTGTGCCTCCAGCATCCTTGAGGCATTTGCCCTCGAGTGCCTTCTCTAGCCTTTGCCGACTCGCAGTCTCTCAAGGCTGCTTGCATCTGGAATCTGGATTCATACTCGAGTTTGAATCCAGTCTCTCAAGGCTACTTCACAGGTTTTTGCTGATTGCCCACAGTTCGCATCCAGTCTGTCGAGGCTATCTTTGCAGGGGTTCGCTGATTCCCCTATCTACTGACTGACAACATACACAAAATTTTGGGAAAAAAGAGGCACCTGATGAAGTCAACACAATGTGCTGAGCATTACATATCATGAGAGGAGAAAAATACAGAGTGTCCTGCACCGATGGGAACAAACACGTGCATTAAACTTCTCTTACCAGTGTATTCAAGTTTCAATTCATTTTTACATACCTCTATGAAGTATGCTCGTTCCGCCACATCTCCATTCATTTCCAAAAACAATCTTAAAACCCCATGAACAGCTGGGTGTTGTTGTTGAGGTCCGCAATCGAAAGTCAAAACTATGTGACAGTTTCCCGCCATACAGCTCTCCATCCGCGCGCTCCATCTCGAACACAAAACACTCACTCCCAGACGGGCCAACACTGCACCCCTCCTAGATGTTCCCCGCGGGCCAGATAACGCGATACACGGGTTGGTTGCGTGCGCCACATTGCGTGCTCACCAAAGTAAACCGACGACGAAGCGGCGGCAAGAGGTTCTGTGGCAACGAACATTACGCCACGTACCATCGTCAAGGTTTTAGGTCGAGGACGGCCATGAGCAATGAGCTTAGCAGCGTACATAGACTGACAATCTGTACTGGTAACTCACCGCTTGTTGTTCCGTGCACACAGCTTGGAGCTGATAGTTCATGCTTTAATCAACTGCTTGAAATTCCTTCCACGCTTCCGTAGCCGATGTGCACCAAAATCCAGCGCAATCGTCATCTGCATGCGCATGATCTAGGTCAAGCTGATATGTCCCCACTCGACTGACGTGACCGTGAATGTGAGGCAACCAATCTGCAACATTGGGAATTTTCAATTTTGCCCTCATCCGATTATGCATGTTAGCCCAACGTCACGTATGCCCTCTCCTCTTAAGAAGGGGTTCGCTGTCACACTAGTGTTGGCTGAAACATGTCTGACCATCCATAGCCCTAAAACACCAAGGCATAGCGGCGACATACACTGTGCAGGAGCAATAACTCTTCTTGTCTTGCTACATATAGCATCTGGGAAGAACCATTCACAGCATGGAGTCCCGTTCTGCTCGGAGTCCCATTCTCGACACGAAGTCCCAGTGTACTCGAAGTCCCATTTGCAACACGAAGTCCCAGTGTGCTCAGAGTCCCATTCTCGACACGAAGTCCCATTCTGCTCGAAGTCCCATCCTCAACACGAAGTCCCGTTTCGCGACGTATAGCAGCTGGGGGGAAACCAATGGTTGAAGATACGGAGGTGCGGCAGCTAATCCGCAGTTGCACAAGCTTCAATCAAGGACCAGCAAGCTGAAGTACATTGCTAGGCCCAAGAAACCGAAGGAGATGAGAATCCTGAAAAAGAGAGGCATTTTTTTTGTATGCAACATCAAACACGATGCAACATTGCGACTACTATCAGCAGGTAGTGTGAAGAGGAAGATCAGCCTTAGGAAGGGCTACCAATGATACAATCCACCATCATCAGAAGGAAAAAAAAAAAAAAAAAAAAAAAGGA